GGTGCCCAGGAGAGGAGCCAGCCCGTACGTCTGCCCAGGCTCCTCTCCTGTGGCAGAGCTCCTACAGTGCACATCCAGGATCATCTCTCTTGCCCACCTTAGGAGCTCAATGTGGAGAAGGTGCCATTTACAGGATACAAAAAGGGGTCTGTGGGGCAGCTTTGCGAAGGGGAGAGTTATGCAGGGAGCTCTCTGGCCAAACAATCCCATAGTGATGGGGTCTTGATTGTTCTCTTGAGGGACCCATTTACAATAGGATAGGCCCCCTGCAGGTGTATGGTTTGAGTTACAACCAGAATCAGCTTTGCGGTCACCTCCTGCTCATAGGGAGGGCTCTCTGCCTCCTGTCCGTGGGGTTGGCACGGTGACTGTGCCCTGTTGCTGCCTCCTGCTGCGGAGCGAGAGGTGCTACAAAGCCTTGCTTGACACACGCCCAGGAGGCAGTGACTGGCAAGGGCAGGACTCACAGCTGCTGGGGCGCTGACCCTATGGGCAGGAGGAGGAGCACTGACCTGCCCTGAGCCCAAGAGGGTCCAGTTGCTTTCCCGCCCGAGCTGGACCCAACACTTGTAGTCGGGTCCTGTCACATTTGGATCGGGTTGGAATGCTCTAGTGTGATCATATCAGTGTAGACGGGACCTGTTCTTAACCACAGCCCCAAACCACACCATAGCTGGTGCACAGTTGGTAAATGCAAGCGTGTCTGTAAAGCACAAAAACCATAGAAATGTAGGGCTAGAAGGGACCTCAACAGGTCATCTAGTCCAGGCCCCTGCACGGAGGCAGGACCAAGTACATCTAGACCATCTCGGACAAGTGTTTGTTCAACCTGTTCTTAAAAACCTCCAATGACTGGAATTCCACAACCTCCCCTGGAAGCCTGTTCCAGTACATAACCATCGTTAGTTAGACAGTTTTTCCTAATATCCAATCTAAATCTCCCTTGCTGCTGATTAAGCCCATTACTTCTTGTCCTACTTTCAGCAGACATTGAAAACTATGGATCGTGGCCCTCTTTATAACAGCCCTTAACATATGGATGACTGTTATCAGCCCCTTGCCCCCAAGTCTTCTTTTCTCAAGACTAACCATACCCAGTTTTTTAATCTTTCCTCAGAGGTCAGGTTTTCTAAACCTGTCAACATTTTTATTGCTCTCCTCTGGACTCTCTACAATTTGCCCACATCTTTCTTAAAGTGTGGTGCCCAAAACTGGACACGGTACTCTTGCTGAGGCATTACCAGTGTTGAGGACAGCAGGACAACTACCTCCTGTCTCTTATATACACAACACTCCTATAAATACACCCCCAGAATGATATTAGCCTTTTTCACAACTGCATTATATTGTTGGCTCATATTCATTTGTGATCTACTATAACCCCCGCATCCTTTTCTGTATTATTGTTTAGCCACTACCAGTTATTCTCCATTTTGTAGTTGTGCATTTGATTTTTCCTTCCTAAGTGTAGTACTTTACACTTGTCTTTACTGAATTTCATCTTGTTGATTTCAGACCAATTCAGAAAAGTCCTTTTGAATTCTAACCCTGTCCTCCAAAGTGCTTGAAACCCCTCCCAGTTTGGTGTCATCTACAAATGTTATAAGCATATTCTCAATTCCAAGTCATTAATTAAAGTATTGAATATACCAGAGCCTGGTACTGGCTCCTGTAGGTTCCCACTAGATATGGCCTCCCAGTTTGACAGTGAGCCATTGATATTTACTCTTTGAGTTTGGTCTTTCAATCTCAATCCAACCTTATAGTAATTTAATCTAGACCACATTTCCATAGTTTGCTTATGAGAATGTCATGTGTCAAAATCAAGATATATCAAATTTACTGCTTCCCCTCCATCCAGTAGCCCTGTCAAAGAAGAACAGGTTGGTTTGACGTGATTTGTTCTTGACAAATCATGCTGGCTATTCCTTATAATCCTCTTATTTTCTAAATCCTTACAAACTGATTGCTTAATAAATTGTTCCAGTATCTTTCCGAAGTTAGGCTGACTGGTCTATAATTCTTGGAGTCCTTTTAGTTCCCCCTTTTCAGGATAAGTACTATGTTTGCTCTTCTCCAGTCCTCTGGGACCTCATCTGTCCTCCAGGAGTTCTCAAAGATAATTGCTAATGGTTCAGAGATTGCTTCAGTTAGTTCCTTAGATATCATAGGATGAATTTCATCAGGCACCGCCGACTTGAATACACCTAACTTACCCAAATAGTCTTTCACCTGTTATTTCCCTATTTTGGCTTGCATTTCTTCACCCTTTTTATTAATATTGTGTTAAACATCTGGTCACCATTAACCTTTTTAGTGAAGACAAGCAAAATAGGCATTAAACAGCTCAGCCTTCTTGATGTCATCTGTTATTAGCTCTCTTTCCCTGCTAAGTAGTGGACCTACACTTTCCTTTGTCTGTCTCTTGATCCTAATGTATTTATAGAACCTCTTCTTGTTGCCTTTTTGATTTTGTCCCTACATGTTTGTACTATTCTTTTATATTCATCCTTAGCAATTTGTTCATGTTTCCACTTTTTGTAGGATTGCCTTTTGATTTTCAGGTCATTCAAGAGCTTCTGATGGAGCCAAATTGCCCTTTTATTAATCTTTCGTATCAGGATAGTTTGCTGTTGTGCCTTTGATATGGTCTTTGAGAAAGCGCCAGCTCTCCTGAACTCCTTTTTCCCTTAGATTTTCTCCCCCTGGGACTTTAGGTACCTGTTCTCCGAGTTTGTTAAAAGTTGCTTTTTGAAGTCCATTGTCCTTATTCTGCTGCTCTCGTTCCTTTCCCTTAATCATAAAATCTATCCTTTCATAATCACTGTCACCCAAATTGCCTTCCATTTTCATATTCACTACGAATTCCTGACTCCTTCACCTTGGCCCTAAAGGCCTGTGGTTACTGCTATCTGTTCAGGGTCATATCTGGAAGTATCATTAGTGCCCATGGGGATGAGCAGCATGGGGTAGCAGATAGAGTGCAGAGGCTCATTCATCTCCTTTCCATAAGGTCTCAGATACAGGCTTCAGGCAGGCAGCACACCTCCTTGTCATGTCAGGTTGGCAGATAAATGCGCCCGTCCCCCTCAGAAGGGAGCCTTCAACCTCTACTGTCCTGTTTCCTCCTCTTGGGGGCAGGTGGATCCTCTTCACCAACCACTGGGGGCTGCTCCTCACCTCCTGTTGCCAGCAGAGCATACTAGTTCTTGACCTTGATGGAAGGGGGACCTGGGTGGGGAATGGAGCACTATCTTTTGCCTGTCTCCTCCCGGCAGAGCGGCGGTGCACAATTGATCTGTGTTCTCGTCACATCCCTCAACACTAGCTTTATCCCATAGACGAGACCTAACCAAACATCTTTTGTGCTGTTTGCAAAAGAAACATTACCTTCCACTAGCCGTTTCCTAAAACAGAGTGCTTGATTTTGTTTAAAGCTTCAGTTTTGTCTGAGGAACATGGGAGGGGCTGAGGTCCTATTAAATTCTCCCTCTATCAGGAGCAGCATATCATGTAACTACAGCAGGGGGCTTTGACACCCTGTCTGATCCACTGACATCTTATTCACCTTCTTACTCTCCCTCCCACTAACTGGAAGCTTATTCTCTCACACCTTTCCACTTTCTCTCCATCAAGGTCTTCTGCACCAAATACATCTCTGCATGTTCTCTTCTGGCAATACCATAGAAAAAAGCAATCACAACAGGGTGAGGATATGGAGCTGTGCCACGGTCTCCTAACTACAGCTATTTAAACCCTGCACATATGGCTATTACCCTGTAGAACAGAAGCTGGTTATGTTAAGTCCATGGAGGACCCAGTGGAAACGCAAGGGCTCTCAGAACAAAGGAGGAACAATCAGGGATATAGGGAACAAGGTCCCTCCTATAGACAAGGTACCTTAAGTGTTTATCACAACCCAGGTACGACATTTCACAGCTGTAATTGCAAGAGTCTGTGAGGCTTCAGTGTGGTTGGGGGTAGGGCAGACAGCTGGGAGTGCATTACATTGGACTGGCTGCATGTCCAAGTACCTGGACATTTCAAGATTCTGGTCCTTATTTTCAAAGCCGTAAGTGGGTTGTGTCAAAGATGGACTCTCACTACATCACAACTGCAGCATTTGATTGAAACACTGAGGATAGCATATCCCAGGTCTAAATTTGCCAAGGGTGGAAACAGTGCAGTCCCAGCAGAAAGTCCTCAGCTACAAAATTCACCAGATCAAACTGAGCCGAGCCCTGCTACCTTTAGAACGTGATGCCAGGACTCTTCTCTTTCATAGTTCTTTTACCTACGGGTAAACAAAGTCACCTGCGTTGCGTTCCTCACAAGCAAGCAGCTTCAGTGAGGGGAGAGGGGTGAGAGCTTGGTTTCTCTTCCTTGAGGAAATCACTATACTTCTAAACGTGTAAAACCATACCCAGGTACTACATGGATGGATGCCTTAGATAGACACAGACACTAATAATTACTGAAGTGTCTTGAAAACCATCTAGATTGCAGGTGCTGTTTCACTGTTATCTCACCAATTCTTAATCTTTATTGCAGATCTACTTTTTCTATGACAGGATATTTGACTAATCCAGCTCTGTGATCAGCTGAATGTCCCTGATTGGGCTAGAATGATTTCTATTACAAATTAAATGCAACAGATACCAGAAACAACATATGCAGGGGCACAGTGCTCTTCTAGAATTTTTCCTATTAGCTGTGCTCTCCGGAGGCGGCCAGAGACTTCCGCACCTGCCAGATCTACCACAAGCTTTTTAAAAAACAATTAGAGGAAAAAAAGTGGTTGGTGGAGAAGAGGGAGGGAGGAGAATAAAAGGCAACATCCGTTCCCATGCACACCACAAGCTCGAATCACACAGGATGTGCACTTTGGGAGGAGTCCAGTTCTCTACTTGGGTTGTAGTAGTTAAGTAGTTTAGTTAAGAACTAAACAAAGTCTGTATCTGCCCCCTGCTGGGCAAAATCCAAGAAGCTCAGTCGGCATGTGTTTAAGAGTAGATATCTTTATTGGCATTGTACATGTTAAAAAACAAAACCCTAATCACAGACCCTCCCCCACTTAGCCAGGAGATTCCCTGTCATTCACCCCAGGGAGAACTGCTCAGTATGTGGAAAGAGCCCCTTGACCAATGCTTTTCGCAAGACAGATCACTCGATATTCACCACAGTGATGTATGGGAAGTGTATGCAATTTGATTAACGTAACCTTTCCTAAGATTTATGGCTCTCTCCTCCCATCCTATCCGATAGTGCATTAGACACAGATTCATTTTGCCTTGACCTTGAGGTGCTGATCAGCCCAGAAAGTGGGATGTTATTTATTATTTGTATTAAAACAAGCAATGCCAGGGCTAGAGGCAGGTTTAAAAGTCATAGTATACAGGTTCCATTCTGACTCAGAACATGGATTCTTAACAATTCTAGCTGCTTGAAAGATCCTGAGGTTGTTTTGACATTCATTTCAGTGGAGTTCCTTTGGACCAAGACAGATTACAAAGCTATGATTCAGTGCCAATGTGAGGTTTTGTTTTTGTCTTTTAAACAGGTCTTCAAGGAAAACTCAAGGAAATTCATTCTCATATCAAAGAGCTAAAGAACATATCTGTAAAAAATGAATTTTCAATTACTTTAAAAAGTATCATGCATGGTCTCAGCCCCTTCGTTGCCACCCGTGCTGCTACTGGCTCTCTCTCTAAAGGAGCTGCCATTTCACTGATGCATCATGGGACTGGGGCTGAGATTTTCAAAGCTGGCTACAGGAGTTGGATACCCAATTCCCACAAACTGTAATGGGAACTGGACATCAAAATCTTGTAGGCAGTGTTGAAAAATCCCACTTTAGATCTTTCTTGAGGCACTGGTGGCAATCCAGTTTGAATGTAGGAGAGGGGAGGACATTCATAATTATTCTGAGGTAAAACTTAAGTAGTTCACTCATCTAAATAAATGAGAACATTTAACATTTCCATTCTCATATATTCAGTACATAAATGTACTTGGTGTTTCACAAGTGAAGTCTATTTCACCTGTGCTTCAAAGTCTGCCCTGGCTTCCAGATGATATTCAGGTGCAAGCCAAGGTGTCAGCCTCAATTAATAAAGCCCTTTGTGCTTTGGGCCCAGGGTATCTCAGAGATCAACTCTCTGTGTGCTTTTCCAGAGTAGTAAAACTCAGTTGGGATGCTTGAGATGACAGTCCCCAGTCTGAGGGTTGGGCATTCCAGGGGCAGACCCATAGCTCTGGGAGCTGCCTCTCCCCTTGGGCCAGAAGACCTACTGTGCATACCACATGACCTATGTAGCTATCACGTTTTTTTTTCCCCAGAGGAAATCGAGTAAGGTGGATTTTAGTTGGGTCTGGGCATTTCTTATAGTTTCTTTTTATACTGTTGGTTTAGATTATTAAATGGATGTTTCAAAATACTGTATTGCGTGCTGGCTTAGAGTCACCATCTAGACAAACACCAAATATACAGAGAAAAAGAAATAAAACTACAAGCTGTATTGTTTTTAACCTACATGAGACTGTCAAGATGGCAGCTGTTTAATTCACTGGTCTATTATATCAAGAGATTTAATTTTTTCCTGTAATTCACTCTTTGAAGTTTTATTACACACTGCTGTATTCCCCTTATTAAAAATAGACCACACAAGATTTAAACTACTCCATATAATGTTTCCCTAACTCCCCCTTAAAACTGCCCCAAATTTTCTCGCTAGGCTTTCTTTCTTTTTCCTTATGGCCAATTAAATTTAGGAGTACAAGTGCAGAACACTCGCCAACAGAGAACCCTTTAAAATAAGTAAAACTCCTCTTGCCCGATTCATTGACGGATGCCACAATATAGGGTTTGACATTTCAAAAGCTTCCAGAATGACAGATAGTGACATCAACAAATGAATCAGACAGCAGGAGGCAGCCAATCAGAAGAGTGAAGACTTCAGATTACATTCAAATATCTTGCTAAGCAGCCAGGATAGGAAAGGGAATGGGCAGAGAAAAATACACGACTTCTTAACAGGGTTTTAGGCAACATTTTTTACAGTACTGCATGTGTAGCTGAAATCCTTTGATGTTAACAGTAGACAGTATCTACCCCAAAGTCAGCTGGCATTTGGATTCGCAAAGCTGAAATTGTTAACTGGATGGCACCAGGAGGTTAACATACTGGTGGAGTGTCACACTGGAAAATTACCATCTTCCAGCAGTAGCATGTTAAAAATGCTACTTATTCACGGCACTCTAAATTTTTAAAGATGATAAAATTCCATTTCCGTTGTCCATTCTTTCTGGATTGATCCAATGTCCATTCCCTCTAGATTGATCGTGAGCTGTAGCTCACGAAAGCTTATGCTCAAATAAATTAGTTAGTCTCTAAGATGCCACAAGTCCTCCTTTTCTTTTTGCGAATACAGACTAACACGGCTGCTACTCTGAAACCTATAATGCTCAGTAACTGATTTTTCCTAGTCAACAGTTCACCATGCAAGAAACATCCTGCTTTGACTGTCATATACCCCTGGCAAAAACTTCATCCTCAACTCCTCAGATTTTAGGATCCAAATGGCTGCTGAGTATGATGAAGGAACAATTCAGGCTGATCACATGAACACACGTTTACTTCTGTTCTCCTGCCCAATTCATTCGGTCAGCAGAGCCCAGTTAAACCGAGTAGCATTTGTTCATCAAACGGATAATAATCAACCAGCAGTGACTGTGATATGCAAAAAAAGTTTTGTGCACCACCACTATGATCAAAGGCTTCTTGGTGTTGAGAACGTTTCTCGTTGAATGGTGGGTGTTAATTAAAAGTAGCATTAAATGCCCGGCCAATGACAAGTCTCCGCACCTCACTGGTTCCTGCCCCTATCTCATATAGCTTGGCATCACGCAGGAAGCGACCCATAGGATAATCATTGATGTAACCATTACCACCTACAAATCACAAAGAGAAGAGATGAAAACCAAGAAAGAACAAGGTATGGGCTGATTCTGTACAGACACATTGACAGAAAGCTTCCCAGTTGAAGAACAGAGGTAAATAGTTCAGACATACTGCAAAAGGCATTTCTTGCCTACTGAACTCAACAGCGAGGAGAGGGACAGCAGAGAGCCTGTATTCCTGCATGTTTCAATCCGCCGCAGGTCACCCTTTCTCATGACGGAGGAAGCAACATTCTTACCTAGACACTGGATTCCATCCAGAGCTACTTGTGTAGCACATTCTGCTGAATACAGGATCACTCCTGCACAATCCTAATGGAGGGACAAGATCATTTATATTTACAGCAACAGGATCAGCAAAGTTTCATCTGCACTGTTCCAATCGTGCCTACTTTTCATCAAGTTTGTATACCTGCAAACATGCCTAAGCTGGTCCCTCTCAAGCACACAAGATTTTGCAGGGCTGTAACCAGAGCAGGATGAGCGGGGCAGCTGCCCAGAGAACAAAGCCATGGGGGTAGAGAAACTACGGAAAAAAACCAGTAGGGGGCAAAGGTGGCATGTAACTGGTGATAGTGGGGTGGGGCCCATGCCTGCCCCACAGAGGATTTCAAACTGAGGGGGATGCAGAGGAATGTTCAGGGGGCGAGCAGCAATGCCAGGTGGCTCAGTGGGGCCAGTCCCATGCAGCAGGGCTGGGGCTCGGCGGGGCTGGAGTTTGGGGAGGGAGTGTCACTTCCACCCCCGACTCACCTCAGTGGGCCACCCAGCCTGTCTGGGTTGCAGGGGGCGGGTGGTGTCACCAAAAAATCAGGGTGGGGAACGTGACCCTGCATGCCACTCTCCCCCCATCACCTCTGGTAGGGGGGGCAAATATGCTTGCTCAGCCCTGGTACTAAAAACATCTAGTTACGACTCTGAGATACTGAGCCAAACAAGGGTCACAGCAGAAAAAAGGAACAGTTTCTCTGTAACGCAGAGACAAGCTCTCCATCAGATCTCACTGTATCAGTTCCATAAGGACCATGTGAGGACAAAAAAAGAAAACAGCAGGGAAACTACACCCTCCTTCATGAATTTACAAATTATGCCCATTGAGGTTATATGCTATCTGACTTAGGATGTAAAACTGTTCTCCAACAGTTAGTCTCTTTTAGTTGCCTTCTTTGAACCAAGCATGTTTATGGTATCAGTGGTGGAAGTGATAACACCCTATAGTGACTGTGATAGCTACTTTCAGGAGCCTGAACATTTTGTTTGGCCTTACTATGGTGCAGCTCTGAATACTGGTAAATCTGCTGACATGCACAAATAAGTTCTCTTTTACTTGAGGGGTACAAGGTATAAGATTTTCTGTAACTGATTCACGGACACCTACGATCTAGAACCTCCGCCCTCTCACGTGAACAAGGGTAAAAGATACATGCTGTGGCCTGACCAGCCCATCAGGAACGGAGCTCACCTTTGCATTGAAGTGTCCTCGGTCGCAAGCTTTTGCCACATTGTACACATACTGCCGGCATGCCATCAGCCGTGTGTACATATCTGCCATTTTACCCTGCATGAGCTACACAAGACAAAACAATATTCTTAAATTCAACAAAATCTTAACACTTAACATGAAATAAAAGGGAAGAGGGCAGAAATGACAACACTCTGGGTGCAAAGCCATGGAAATGACATTGTTTTAGCTGGTCTTCTTATGCTACCTACTGAAGACTGGACAAACCAGTGAAGCTGGATTCACAAGTCACATGACTGAGCCTGGGTTACTGTTGGATCATAAGTTCATAAAAGTTAGAACAGAAGAGACCTGGGACTTCAAATCCTAGCTCACCCCAACGCCAGCCTGGGGTTACCATGCTGACTAAGCCCGTGCCTTTCACATTCAGTATGAGCAGCAGTGTCACTAAGAACAGGGCCAGACTTCCAATTAGGCACAGTAGGCACGTGCTTAGGGGCATCAGCATTCTAGGCATGCCTTCCCTCTCTACAACAATGTGCAACACAGAAGTCAGCTGTAGGCGGGGGAGAGGGGCACTGAAGATGCTGTGCCTAGGGGTGCAGAAGGAGTAAATCCAGTCCTGACTAAGAAGTGCAACTTCAGGAAAAATCCAGGATAGATTTCATCACCCTAAGCTACAAAAATCCATCAGCATGTTCTCCAATTTCTTAACAAACCACCAGATAAAAACTACTTCAGAGTTAAATAGTCTCACCAGATTTTGGGTAATTCTAGGTTACAATTTTGCATACTGGTACAGAAATATGTAGTGTGATCATCATAATGGGACAACCCCACCCTATAATAAAGACAGGCTCACAATCCTTTCTGTCAGGTACACTGAGATAAGCGTTCAGGATCTGACCGAAAATGAAAGCAACAGGATCTATGGGTATCAGTAACAGTTCTTTCCCCTCATTCTCACCTGGAAGTGGCCAATTTTCTGTCCAAATGCTTCTCTCACGTGTAAGTATGGAAAAGCATGGTCAAGAACAGCCTGCATGATTCTGAGAGAAACACAGACACAGGGTTGAGGGAGTGGAAGGAAACCGAAAAAGGAGGAAAACAGAGTAATTAACAAACAAACAATAATCCAAACTCTGTTTCTCAGTCTAAGGCAGTGCCTGGTATACAATGCAATTATGCAGTCATGAAATTACCCTTCATGAATTTACTATATAATTGTATTCCAGAATCTAAGCTCTTGTTAAAAAAAGTTTCAACCCTTATAGTCACAAAGAAAACCTTCCAAATCTTGGAGTGTAATCAATGCAACAGTGTCTGGCTGAGTCTGTAGATAGCCTGAAACAACAGCTCTGAGAGGCATGCACTTCCTCATCCATCCCAATGGCCCACTGACTGTGAAGCCTAATGGGGACAGTTAAATGGCCACATTGTTAACTGCTTAACTGCTGATCATTTGAGCAAAGTCAAGCTACTGTACTTTAATCAGCATCAATGAGACTGGCTGTAGTAGCTGATACTGGGGAAGTGTGCAGTGTACAATGAGACTGTAAATGTTTGCTGGGGGACAAAATGAAGCATTCAACTCCCCTCTCCTCCAAATTTCTAGTCACCTCTTACCTTAGCCAAAAGGGAAGCTGCATTTCCTCCCTTGTCCAAAAGCCTCAATTGTCTCCTGGATTGCCAAAAACCTAAACCAGCTTCCACTACTTCCTGGGTGCCTGAAGTTCCCATATTCCCCCACTCCTCAACTTCTATACTGCAGTTCTGGATTTTCAACTCAGTAGTCTGCAGCATGTTGAAAACTTAAAATCTTGGGGCAGCATAAGATTCATTATTTATTTTGCTATGAAAGTCAATGTATTTGTACTGTATTGGTGGGATGTGAAAGAGTTGGGGAGAAAGTGCCAGTTCAGGAGTCCTTGCCACACACTTTAAGGCTAATGTGTTACAGAGAAAACTAGGGCTTGGTTTTAAATAACATTTCACATCAGTGTGTGCTGGGCTGTTCCTTAGAGAACAATTCAGTGTTCAGAAAACAGGATGCTTTAATGACAGAGAGAAACACCTGTTAAAGATAAGGCTTGGTTTAGTGAGATACTTATGGCACCATTATTAGGGGCATTCAAGACATCATTACATTAAGTTTATGGCTGGATTAATAAGTGCTCTACTCTTCTCTAGCTCCTTCCAGGGCCTCGCAGAATCAATATCTCCACAGAGGTTTCAGTGAGAATTCTAGTTTACAGATAGGTAAAAAGGGGCATTGAGAACTTAAGCATCTTTCCCAAGGTTACACCTAAAACAGAAGCAGAGCCAGGAAGAAAACTCAGGAGAGTCCCGGCTTCCTCTCATATACTTTACGCACTGGACAACACTGCCTGTCAGGGACATTTCCTAGTGTCTTGCTTGATGCAAGGAGTTGAACTGCTCCTTCTCTGAACAGAGTGTAGGGAAAGACAAGTCTTGGGCCAAGCCTCCAACCTGAAGGAGGCATTCTTTTTGGGCAGTTTTCTCCTGCATGTCAATGCCGAACTGCCACTAGGGAGCCTGCATAGGACAACTGAAGACTAGGAGACAAGTCCCCCACACTGCGTCACTTGTTTAAAATTTAGAAAAAGTCCATATTCTGGTCCCTTGCACAGAGAGAGGTCTCTCTATTTAAATTTGCCTTTTCTAAAATGCTTTTAGTTTCTGATGTTCGTGATTACCTTGTTTATTATGAGCATATTATAAAATTGGGGGATTTAAAAAGCAGGTGTTATTGTGGGAGAGAACACAGTAATAGAAACTGTTAAATTTAGAACACGCCGCAAAGAGAATGTGAGCATGAGGAGAATTCGAAGTTATCAGAAGGGGGTCGCCGTGCAATGAAGTTTGAGAACCCCTGAACTAGAGGATCCAACAGCTCCTTTACAACCTTAGCTAGGATTACTCTGCACTGCTGTGCATCTCATTCATTAATTGAGCGGCATAAAGAAGCCCAGAACTGAGTAAGAGAGGAGGAACTCCATCTTCCTATTGGAAGAGGGTAGTCTTTCTAAATAAAGGTTACCATTGAGCCCACTAGATGGGGACACAAAGATTTAAGATGAGGGATCAGTATGGAACCTAAGGATGGCATGAATAAGAAGAATTTACCCCTTTCTCAAGCAGAAGCACCTCTCTTGTGAGGTGGACTTAAGTGGTTATGCTGTAAAGAAATCAAGGCCACAAATTGGGACCACTGGTTAAACCAGGTGAAGTGATATAAGCAGAAGCGATACATGATTAGTAGAAAATTAAACGACCATTTACCCCAGTGGTCCACCAGACAGTACGAGTCTCTCCAGATCCAAGCCACTCATCAGAACGTAGACTCCTTTACTCAGCTGCCCCAAGATATTCTCAGCTGTAATCAGCAAAGAAAAGTTACTTACTTGTAAGTAGACCCCTCAGAAGGCAAGTTGTTGCCTATGGATCTACATTTTATGGGGAGAGGATTCAAACCTCTAGCAGTATTCTCTTTTTGCCTTGGGGCACAATCATTAAGGCAACATACTTTCCTTGCCCCCACAACAATTTTTTTTTCCAACCAAAGCTGTAAACAAAGCAGTAGAGGGATCTAAGGTGCCTTTACAGCCAGTATTACCTTTTAGAAAATGGGGAACTGAGTAAGTATTGTCTATAGAGCCACAAGGCTAAAGATTGAAATCATTACAACAATGGGGAAGTGAGGGTATGCCTACACAACAATAAAAAACCCCACAACAGCACGACCTGGGCTTGTGGAGCAGGGACTGCAGGGCTAGCAATAGTGGTGTAGACATTCGGGCTCAGCCTGGAGCCTAGACTCTGAGCCTCTCGCACCTCACTGGTGAGGCTTGGCAACTTTATCTTGCAGTAGAACTGAAGTACCTGGTCTTCACTGTGTTTTTACCTCATGCACATTAGTTACCCCAAGGTAAAACAGACACCTTTTTTAGCAATGAAGACAAGGCCTTAGTTGCTAGTTCAAATCTAGCTGAAGCTGATAGTCACCGAAATGTGTTATTGTCAGCTGGCTATTAGGTGACCTCTATGAAAGCAGTGTGATTCCTGCTGTCTGATATACGTATGTCTCCATATCACAATGAGCATCTCTAACACAGAGGCCAAGGATTAAATGTACAGTGAGCCAGAACTCTCCTCTGAACCTGCAGGTCAGGGTTGGGGGACACTTGCAAGATGGTGTTGGAAAATTTGCACTGCCATTATCCATGTGCTCAGTGCATAGCTGTCGATCTAGCAATTTGCACAAGCACTGCAATCATTCATTTTTATTTTATTTTATTTTATTTTTTAAAAGAGCTAGCATTAGCTCTATGAAGATGAAACAGAGCTGACACACTAGATAGCAGGTTAAAGAAAAAAAGGATTAAAACCCCCATATGTTAGCTTAGGAGGATGTGAAGAGCATGTACGAAAGTGTGCCAGTGAAGAGGGAGAAGCAGGAAAAGAAAGCTTAACCCCTTAGTGATGCTGTACTGTGATAAGAATGGGAGAATTGAATGCCTTGCAAACCGTGCCTGGTAGGATGGAAAGAGATTGTTCATTGATGCTGCTGTAGTCCGAAATAAGTACGGAATAAGGTCCTGCACTTAGGACGGAAGAACCCAATGCACAGCTACAGACTAGGGACCGAATGTCTAGGCAGCAGTTCTGCGGAAAAGGACCTAGGGGTGACAGTGGACGAGAAGCTGGATATGAGTCAGCAGTGTGCCCTTGTTGCCAAGAAGGCCAATGGCATTTTGGGATGTATAAGTAGGGGCATAGCGAGCAGATCGAGGGACGTGATCGTTCCCCTCTATTCGACATTGGTGAGGCCTCATCTGGAGTACTGTGTCCAGTTTTGGGCCCCACACTTCAAGAAGGATGTGGATAAATTGGAGAGAGTCCAGCGAAGGGCAACAAAAATGATTAGGGGTCTGGAACATATGAGTTATGAGGAGAGGCTGAGGGAGCTGGGATTGTTTAGCCTGCAGAAGAGAAGAATGAGGGGGGATTTGATAGCTGTTTTCAACTACCTGAAAGGGGGTTCCAAAGAGGATGGCTCTAGACTGTTCTCAATGGTAGGAGATGACAGAACGAGGAGTAATGGTCTCAAGTTACAGTGGGGGAGGTTTAGATTGGATATTAGGAAAAACTTTTTCACTAAGAGGGTGGTGAAACACTGGAATGCGTTACCTAGGGAGGTGGTAGAATCTCCTTCCTTAGAGGTTTTTAAGGTCAGGCTTGACAAAGCCCTGGCTGGGATGATTTAACTGGGAATTGGTCCTGCTTTGAGCAGGGGGTTGGACTAGATGACCTTCTGGGGTCCCTTCCAACCCTTATATTCTATGATTCTATGATTCTAAGTAAGCACTAATGTGCCCCTCAGGCTTCAATCCCAAGAGAATATAACTGTGCGAGATGCAAGCTGAAAACCAGATATGAATGGAATTTTTGGACATAGGCAGATAGGTTGGGATCACTTGAAGCTAAGACTCTGGACTTTAAGGTATGTCTACACAGCAATTAACCACCAGTGGCTGGCCCATGTCATCTGTCTCGGGCTTGCAGAGCTCAGGCCTTGGGGCTGTAAAATTGCAGGGTAGACATTCGGCCTCGGGCCGCAGCCTGGGCTCCTCCCCACTCGCGGGGTCCCAGAGTTTGGGCCCCAGCCTGAGCATCTGTATCGCATTTTTACAGCCTGCAGCCTGAGCCAGATGACACAGGTCAACCGTAGGTGTTTAATTGCCAGGTAGACATACCCCATGTGACTTCTGCTCATCACGGATAGAAACTGAAGGCCTGCCAGACATCTAGCTCATTCAGGAATTGTGTTGATGGGCTCTATGGGAAACTGCAACCAATCCTCCTCCACCAGAAGGTCAGTCATCATGGCATGGGACTTTGAGAATGAGCTGAAAAAATGCAGGAGAAGAGAAAGGAAAAATACTAACAACAAACATCTTAAACATTTTGTAAAAAGAGAAATATCCTCACCAGTCACAAGAAGCTAACAAGACAAAACTACTCACAAATAATGGAGTGTCACAGCCAAAGGAGAGACTGAACAGACACAAATGCCCCCTTTGCAAATGAAGAAAAGGAACCAAGGATTATGCAACAAGTTGAAATATATATGCACTCACTGCACAAGGGGTGCAGGGCTAATATTTGTGTCTCAGAGCAAAAACCTAAAAGTGCTCTGAATTGGCCTCTCAGTCATACCACGTCCCAAGAATGTGGATCCACAGATGGTATCTATTATGGCAAAAAAAACCCGTAAAATCCACTCAGTGAAGCACTGCTGACAGTGAAACCATGTACCTTAGAGTGGATGGGACTGTAGTGCTAGAAGACCCCTTGATCTATAAGGGTTTGTCTACACAGGAATAGAAAGCCCATGGCTCGCCCAGGTCAGCTGACTTGGGCTCAGGCTCCAAGGCTGAAAAACTGCAGTGTAGACATTCAGGCTCAGGCTGGAGCCCAAGCTCTGGGACCCTGCAAGGGTGGAGGGTCTCAGAAACGGGACTGGAGCCTGAGCCCAAACATCTACACAGCAATTTTTAGCCCTACAGACTAAGCCCCATGAGCCTGAGTCAGCTGACCGAGGCCAGCCGTAGCCAAGCCAGAGTGCTTTTATCCCTATGTAGACGTACCCTAAGAGAAAGATGTCCTGAAGACATATAGGAAGGTATTGAATTGGCTCAGCCTCCAAGACTGGAGATCAGAAGCAGCAGCTGTGGCTCATGCAAAGAGTGTACAGTTTCAGCACTATCCTGATCTGTTTCAGTAAGTGATCAGAAAACAGGAATCCTGTTGTCATGAGAACACTGTTCTGTATGGATCAGAGCATACATGGAATGGCTGAAAGACCCAGTCTAGGTTCATTGACCTTTCTGACCCCAGGTTGGGGATCTGGGAAAATTAGAAATGTGGGCAGTTAGGGGTCTGAATCAGCCCCTGAAACTCCTCTGAAGTGATACCAAATCTTGCCCTCACAGATGAGATTTTAGGAGTCAAGAAAATGGATATCTTCCATGTACTGTACACAGGTTTTTAATTTCCTTCTGTGAAAAAATGGTCACAGGAATTAAACCAAATAAAGCATGTTGGCCAGTGGCCACAACCTACCACCAGAGGTTCAGGAAAAAGAGGCGCTCAGGGACTCATTCAGAGTTTCTCTAAAACCCCATTCATAGTATCCATACTGGAGGCTCCAAGATAAACAGCGTAATCAGCAGTTTCTCCTAAAGCATCATCCAAGCTTTGCAAAGCCAGTGGCTAAATGTCATGTCCAATGTAGCTCAACCCAGAGGGTGGAACAGAAGTGACCTATCACAGGCAGACTGAATCACTTTAATGCACAAGATAGCAACCTCTCCTAGCCTCAATATCTCACCTGCAAGATAGTCACTGAGGAGAAAAGTGTCTGGAAAACCTTCAAATCAGAATTTGAATGTGATGTTTCAGTCTATATGAATGAGGAGAGTGGAAGCCACTATGTGGATATGGTAAGGGGCTCTGCTCAGCTCTCAGAAGTCACTCACCAGGAATCTTACAGTCCTCAAAGATCAATTCACAGGTATTGGACCCCCTCATTCCCAGCTTATCAAGCTTTTGAGCAGTGCTGAAACCAGGCATACCCTGCAAATCAAAAAAGAGAAGCAGGTTACAAGTTTTTCTCTTCTGGAAGTTGAGACAGACCACGACAGAGGAATTAAAGTTAAACCTCCCCAACCTAATAAATGAGCAGGGGGAATTGCAACAAGTGAGGTGTGCTGGAGGACCGCCAGTGTCAAATGTCTGCTGTTGGAGCAAACACAAGTGTGAGCATTAGTGTGGAGGAAGCAAACATGTGTACCAGCAAGCAGTGCCTGAGACAACATGAACTGTGGGAGTGGAATTTGTTTTCTAACGCACATGAATCTGGAATGAGTAACAATGATTTAGTCAGAACACAGAACCAGATGTTAAATATTTAAATCAATACATGGTAAGGATAGCTGTGTGGGCCCAGTGGTTGTGTGGTTCCAGCCACTGACACTGGAAAGTCTATCAAGAGGTTAACTGGTCTGACCCATTCTTATCAAATGACCATTATGTTTAGCCCTTTGTCATAGCTTTCTGCCTTCATGAAGATGCCTTGTTATTTTTTCTACAGTGCGATAGGCTCTCTACAGCCAAATTAAAAGGAGAGAGACAGGTTCCTGACCCCAAGTGGCTCACAATCTAGCAGCCTGATTCTTCACCCACTGAAGTCAATAGAACAGGATTGGGCCTTTGGACCAAGGTCTGCAAGGTATGACAAACAGAGAATAGGGGGCACTGAGATTACAGCAGAAGATCACCAGACATGCTTTATGTACATGTTTTGTAGATTCGCGCGTTCTGAAGGCAGTGGGGGGAGGTAGCAGAGGATTAATAATGAGGATTGTTTTGATGGTGATCTACTGAAAAATTTGAGGGAACAAAAACAGGCATTAAGGCAGCAGTGCAGGTCGGCAGAGGAAGTGAGGCAGCATAGTGCACAGACTTAGGGAGGGCATTCTAGACCCTCTGCGCATGTGGATGAGTGGGGTGAAAGCATTACTTGTCCGGTTATCACTACCATAACACAATGCTCCTCTGAGCCAGGGGCTGCTAATTGTCAAGATAGAACTACTTGGCCTTCTAAAATAGTCATTTTGGGAAAGGATTGTAGCCTCAAAATAGGATAAAATAAGGCAGGGTGACTTACTCTCCAGTGACGTAAGGCCTACCTTCTCCACGATGAATGCTGTTATACCCTGGGAGGCTGGAACAGCACTGAGATCTGTTTTAGCATAAACTATTACAACATCAGCATCTGGCCCGTTAGTGATCCAAAACTTGTTCCCATTCAAAACAAAGTAATCCCCTGGAAACATAAGAGATGGACTCTTAGTTCACAACAGTCTCAGTGAGGAATTGAGAAACAATACCTCTCTTCTGCCTCATGACCCAATAAACTATAAGCCAGGCTCCCTAAGGCACTCTCAGAAGTCCACAAAGCAGCCTTGGGTAAAATACCTCCCCAGACTCTGGCTCAGGGGTGGGCAAACTTTTTGGCCCGAGAGCCACATCTGGGTATGGAAATTGTATGGCGGCCATGAACGCTCACAAAATTGAGGGTTGGGGGGGGCGGGGGGATGAGGGCTCTGGCTGGGTGTGCGGGCTCTGGGGTGAGGCTGGGTGAGGGGTTGAGAGTGCAGGAGGGTGCTCCGGATGGGACTGAGGGGTTCGGAGGGTGGGAGTGGAATCAGGGCTGGGGCAGGGGGTTGGGGTATGGGAGGGAGTCAGGGGTGCAGGCTCTGGGGGGTGCTTATGTCAAGCAGCTCCCAGAAGCAGTGGCACCTCTCCCCTCCAGCTCCTACATGGAGGCGCAGCCAGGCGCCTCTGCGCGCTGCTCCGTCCACAGGTGCCACCCCTGCAGCTCCCACTGGCCATGGTTCCCAGCCAATGGGAGCTGCAGGGGTGGCGCTTGAGTCAGGGGCAGTGTGTGGAGGCCCCTGGCTGCCCCTATGCGTAGGAGCCGGAGAGGGGACACGCCGCTGCTTTCGGGAGCCACACGAAGCGGGGCAAGCCCTGGACTCTGCTCCCCGGCTGGAACTCAAGGGCCAGATTAAAATGTCTGGAGGACCAGACGCGGTCCCCGGGCTGTAGTTTGCCCACCCCTGCTCTGGGTACTTAGTTTCCTTAAATTCCGGAGTCCAAAGGATAAGCCATTGTAGAGCCCACCCAAGGCCTCTTAATAAGGCCTTTATACAGCCCTCTCACACAAACTATTCTTCCCACCATAACCAATTCTCTGTGAAACAACAGACTAGAGGTGTCACAGGTGTGTGATATGATGGTTCATTTTTTAACTCTCCTCCCAACCAATATTCCATATATAGATTTTCTGGGTTTGGAATCACTCAATCTCTTCCATCATCAATAATGGACCTGGCCCATCCCACCCTACAACTTTTCTGTCATACCCTTCTGCTTGCCTACTAGGGAGTGGCAAAACCAGCAATTTGGATACCCAACTTGTTGTGCCATGGACTGAGCACAGCTGAACACGCTGAGAAGGTTAAATCTAGATTTTAAAGGAAAGATGCTTAGGCTGGCCAGGAGAAGCACATGGGCAATTTCCCCAGCTGGCACGTGAAATATTTTACCTTTTCTATCTGCCTTGAGCTTCATAGAGACAACATCAGAACCAGCGTTGGGTTCGCTCATTGCCAGGGCTCCAATGTGCTCCCCGTTGATTAGCTAGGGAAAAAAACAAGACAAAAAAGTGGAAGAGGAGGAGGAAATGTTTTTATTGCATTTTTGGGCAGGAAGGGAAGGGGTTGCACTGAATCTCGAAGTTCACTGTGTTCCATATAAACTATAAGTAGGAAACTTTGTCCCTGGAAGAATTCCAACAAGCAGCTCACTTGAGCTGAGGGCACAGCACAGAATCAAACCACAAGATGAGTCAATGCACATGTCAGTTACTATTTTAAAAGCAGAGTTTTATCCATCTATGTCCACGAAGGTGCCAACAGAACCATGCTGACAGCCATATGCCTTTTCCAAACTCCATGTTCCCTGACTGCCTTTTAAAATGGCTGGTTGGCAGAGGCACATATTTTATGCATATGCAAAAGAAGGCTCAGCTTGTATAAAACTAGACTTGTAGAAAACAAAAAGGTCAATGAGGGGGATAGAGAGATTGCAGTGTTCAGCACTAGACTAATACCATGATTCCCCACACACTTGTGATGGAATGGCAGATGGACACCCTCCTTCTGTGTCCCCTCATGCCATGTTCTGACACAGCTGCTGCTGTCTCTTCTCTGTCAATGTTCTCCTGTCCTTTTCTCCTTCTTGCCCTTTACCTTCTCTGGGTATTTTTTGTATGCTTTTTCCCTCTGGGTATTTTTTGTTTGTTCCCTTGTTTTGTGGCGAGAGATTTAATATACAAAAATATATATGACATTTAAATCTGTATATTTCAACCGTATTCTTAATGATGTGCTGGAAACTAGTTTGGTTTTATAAATTATATAAAATGACCAAAGTGGTTTCCGGCACATCATTAAAGATTCAGTTAAAATTCAGGAATAATGAAAAATAAGGTGGTTTGACATATTGCAAATCAGTGAATGACAGAATGACAACAATCCTAAAATACACCTGAGAAATGACAGGGATATATAGAATTTATGTACTAACAGACTGAACGAGATTTCTTTTGTTAAGTAATTGAACACTTTGCTTGCTGCTGAATTTAAGTCCCTCATGTTGACAATTTTACATAACTATGATTCAGCTTATGGAGAAATACATCCAATATGTTTAGATATTGAAATCTGTTTAACAGAGGCTGGGGTTTAAAATACAGAGATCACTTGAGTGCCAGAGAAGACTTACAATCAATTGATTAACAGACCAACCAAGCAACCAGACAACGGAATAAGGAAGCATGCAGCACTTTTCATCCAGAAACGTCAAAGAGCTTTATGAAGGTAGAATAATATTCTCTGCAAAGTCTTTTTCGGGGAACCCCTCCCTCCCCCCCCAAAAAAATGTTCTCCACAGCCACACACAGGAACTGAGGTACAGAGAGATTAAGTGACTTGCCCAAGGTCACCCAGCAAGTCAGTGGTAAATGCACATATACAGAGCAAGGTTCCTGCCTCTCATGGTATGTCTACACTTTGAGCTAGAGGTGTAATACTCAGCTTGAGAAGACATACCCGAGTTTGCTCTGATCGAGCTAGCATATTACAAACAGAGCATAGCTGTGGTTGTGCAAGCATCAGGAGGGGCTAGCTAGTCCAAATACACACCCATCTGACATGCTAGGCACATACTCCTGCTGTTCACATCACCATGGCTACACTATTTTCGAGTGTGCTAGCTTGATCGGAGCTAGTGTGGATATGTCTCCTCCAACTGGAATTTACACCTCCAGCTCCAAGTGTAGACATACCCTTAATATACTGTCCTACCCACTGGACCATGCTGCCTCCAGAAGTGACCCTGAAAAAGGCTCAAACAAGACACCTGTACCAGTTTTAAATTCTGCAGGAACCTTCATCACGATGGATTAGTTAGGACAAAACAGGATCATTCACAAGCTGGAGAAGGGCAAATTTGAAAGGTACAATCCTTTTCAAAGCTTGCTGCAGTAAGCTCACCTGATGTATTGGAAGATTAAGCTCTGTGAAAGACAAACATGTCCAGACATGCAGTTGTAATACATGGCTCTGGTGCCTCATGAGCCATGCAGGGCAAAATGCTTTCGGCACCTGAGAAGTGCATATCCCACACTGCGACCACTCGTTTTAAAAGGGTCAGCAGTTACTCCTGCACAATGTGTGTAAGCACCACATGTTGGTTAGAAAAAACAGATGTGTTTGCTGGCTTTGAAAAAGGTTTTTCATTTTAACCTTTAAATTTTTTTCTTACTACAGGGCCTGATCCTGTCCCCACTGGCTTCCTTATTTGTTTAAAGAATATAGGCATCCCTGCAGCAGGAGCAGTTTGCTGTGGCAGTTTCTGCCCTGGGTGTAAGACTGAAACAGACCGAACCAAACACCCACTGGGAAGAGATACTAATGCTAGAAGTTCAGTACTGTCCCATTCAGTGTATGCGGTTGTTAGGCACACAAGGGGAGACAAAGTGCTAGAGCTCAGTTCAGCCATGGAACATCTGTGAAATGTTGTGAACTTTGTTGCTACTTTAAATGTCATAACACATGTAGTTTTATGCTATAACTAGATCTATTACTTCACATTTCTTACTTCACACCAGATACCACAGGCACCATGTAAACAGATATTCTCTCAGGTCCTCTGCCTCTATCAATTACATACCTTGGGTAGGTATTTCTCTTTCTGTGCTTCATTGCCATTCCGTACTAACTGGTTAATACAAAGGTTTGAGTGGGCACCATAACTGAGTCCAACAGCTGCCGAAACTCGAGAGATTTCCTCCATCACTAACACATGATCCAGATACCCCATTCCAGATCCACCATATTCCACTAGCAGGAGAAAAAAATTCAACATCATCTTAGATTAATAACCCCACAGTAAATAAAACTTACACAATCTCCTGCAAACTGAGTCCAATGCTGGACTTAAACTTCACTGGATGTCTCAGAAACTTACATTTGGACTTCTGCTTTAGACTGACTCTCACTGAGCTGGTTACTTCTGGGTTCCCCATCCTTCCTGAATCCCAACTCTCCTATCTTAAAGGCACAGTACATTACTTATTCAGAACAATTAGTAACACTTTGTGCATATAAAAGCATAGTTACCACATATACACTTATACATGAATAGAACATTGATCTAACATCCAAGCATCACACAGACAGCTGCACAATTCTGCATCTCTCATACTAACTGTAATCCAAAAGTTTGCATTAAATTTAATATTATCACAAAAATTAAATACAGAAAAAACAAAAAGGTGCAGAAAAAGGAGAAAAGACTTTCCCAGGGGATAATTGATATAAGATGGAGAATCAGTAGGGCAGAGGGGAACAAAAAGGATGCTCCTGACTAATAGCAGGAGCTGCAAAAGAGAAGACTTTCATATATGGCCAACTAGAGAAGCAGAAGCCAATGACAGATGAGGGCATAGTAGAACAGATGAGGGCTTCGTAGAATAAAGAGAAACAAAGCGGGTGAAATCAACTGGGGCAAATTCCATGGATGGTTTTCAAAACAAGAATGGCAGTTTTCAACAGGATCCTGAAATGAATGGGGAGACAGTGGAATTGCTTTAGGGTGGGGGGTCATACGGTCAAACTTTTCAGAAGCAGGATGGAGAAAAATTGATGATTAAAAATATTTTTATTTAACTAAAGGGTGGCTAAAGATACAAACAGATGAGTCTCAAACTGAAGCGGTAGAAGATTAAAGCTGGAAAAGAAACAACAGAAACAGAAAGAGAAGATGGAGGAAAAAAAGAGCAAAGACTGAGGAATATATGTACACCCAGGAGTGTATATATATTGGCTTGCAGGCAGAGAGTGGTTTTATAGGTAGCAACAAATCTACAACAGGAGGGAGGCAGAGATACTTGCCTAGCTAGGGAGGGAATCCAGGTCTGAATGGTCAACAACACTGAATGCTGCCCTATGGGAGCAGCAGCCAAGAAGAGAATAGAGGCTGCTTGCCATGCTGAGGAAAGTGAATGAAGAATAGAGTGAGTGCATAGCCTGGAAGTGCGTGCTACTGCTTGTAACTCCTAAAACTAAAGGGGTGGCCTCTGATTCCAAGTGCACCCCTTCTACACCAGCACTCATATTGATGGCAGCTGATCAATTTGTGCTCTGGATTCTCATCCTCCTCACCCCATGTCAGAGCCTATGTTCTTACTCCCAGCATCCTAACAGATGAGGAAAACATGAAGCGGATTTGTGGGAACAGTAAGAATGCTGGGTGGGACACTCACAACGCCACGGAGCGGAAACCACCATGTTGAACATTACAGTTATAGACATTTTTGCATTCCAAAAGCTACCAGGTGAAATCAGACAGACATTTAAAAATACTGCCTTCAGTGCAGCCAGTATTTCACTCTAAGCATTATCAAAGGCAGAGAGAAAACAAATGAAACGAAAATATGAAAAATATTTCCCCCCAATATCCTTCAGAGTTGTTATAGAAAGGTATTATTTGTAACAACAGTAGGTAAGTCTTTTAGACAAAAGTGTGATTCAAGATGATGGTGTCCCTTTAGAATTTTTATATGCCACATGGCTGCATTATGGTTACTGCAGAACCATATATTTGCATTTCCTAACTCTGATATAATGTTGCATTAACATAACTGAATTTATTTTTAGGTCTAGACATTGAAAAGAGCTGTCATTTAATGCACTATTGAAGAACCATGATCCACTGGTACCTAAACATGTGGCTCAAATGACCACACATTTCCACAGGATCTCATATTATCAACACTATACCCCCAAAGTTTGTGCCCTTCATAAAATAAATTTACAGACAAAGCCCCATCTCCCAGAAAACTTCCACTGGGACACCACCAAAAACCACAGGACAAAAGCTCAGGCACAGAAAGGTGTTTGTGGGAAAATCCTTGAGGAGATCAGAATAGGAACAATTCATGGAAGAAGCATGCTTTGAGGAGGAATTTGGAGGAGAGGCAGAGATGGAGCTTGGGCAAAGTGGGAAACTGTTGCAGCCTGGGGCACAGCATTAAAGAAGACAAAAAGGCAAGTATGAAAGAAAGCTGAAAGGAACTATAAGAAGTTGGGAAGAGCAAGGGAAGCGAGAGCAAGAGAGACTCACTCAAGCAAACTCAGGTCTGACCACTGAAATAAATGCAGGTGCATTATTTCAATGTAGAGCTATACAGAAGGGCTCTGCACAGGTTAGTCACCAGTGCATAACCAGAGTCCTGGGCAGGGCAGTCCAGCCTGTGCTGCTGCAGCTTCACTATTGTTATCTGAGCTAGCTTTGATCTAGTTAACTAAATAGGTCTACACATGCTACAGTCACCTCTCTGACTGCAGTGTAGACACAGTGGCACAATGCTGAACACAATCTGTCCTCGTTTACAATAATTGGTCAGTTATGGTCAGTGCTGCGTCAGCTAACTCAACTCTTCACCATGCTGCTTGAACACGCTAACATTTTGTAATGTAGCCAGATACTTATTTTCAGAAATTTCTATTTATAACCTTCTTTCTTCAAACCTCACGACTGCATTGCTTATGGTGAAGGATAACAAGACATTTGGGAGTTGTCAAACTGCGAAGTGGTAATACCTGAACAATGTCCTTAAACTGTAAAAGCCATTTTGAAGTGCTCTGATAACTCAAAAAGGAATAAAGAGAAGTTCTTCAAAGTTTCAACAAAGAGAGGCACCTTGAAAAATTTCTGCACAAGGATGGATTTCTCTGCATCTCCTCAAAAAGAGGTTTTTATCACACTGACATAGGAGTTTTGAGTGAAAGTGGTGCATCTTCCATGATGTTCTTTATTATAATTAGAAAAACCTGATCCTACCACAAAAGGTGTGTATAATAAATTGTATCCTGAATTGAGGGGACAGAGTCTGCTTACAAGATTGTGAGGTATGAATCAATGTGGACTAGCTTGTTAAGGGCTGAGACAGTTGAGCCTAAGTAGCATTTCATGGAGGGAATCATTCAGTAGATGTAAAAGATGAGAACTTACTCACCAGGAGTTGTAATTCCCAGAACTCCCAGCTCCCCGAGCCTCTTCCAGAACTCCTATGAACGCAAAATAAAGCAGTTAATACAGCCTTGCCCAACCATGAAGCAAGAGCAGGACTCCTCACAACAATCTCCATGAACATATTAATTTGCATTCGCTGCATAAAGATTCTGAAGATTAACTCCTGCCTGTGCATAACATTATACATGCAAGTAGTCCCATTTTACTTCAATGAAACTAACTGATTTATATACATGCTTAAGTCATTGCAGGATCAGGGCCTAAGGCTGTAACTAATTTCCCAGTCTAAACCCAATTTTGACATAATTCAACCCGCACTTCCTCTGAAAACTGCTTTTCTGCCTAGATTTTTAAATGTTGTCTCTTGCCAAAGATGATTTCCCATCTTCCTCCCCCGTCCCCTGATCTTTTTTGTGTGAAAAGTTTCAGGTTTATTGGCTAAGGCATTTTTCAGATACAGGACATTGAAAAAACTGTGCAGTTCTCATTTTTGAGAAGTTGCCATGTTATGGAAGTTGGATCCCGCAAAATGGCCTGCACTAGACACTGCAGTTCAGTTTTACACAACAGCCCTGGATGATATCTGATGCACTGGACTATATTTATAAAGGCTACGTGCAAAGCTTTGGCATTCTTCATTATGAAAATGTAAATACCAGAGATTTGTGAGGTCTCAGCAGATATTACAAGCTTCTTAAGTCTTGTGGAGCTTATGATCTCCAATGATGGGACCTGAATGCTCCATAAATCAAAAAGCTCTTGTTCGCAGAATTTACAAATTCTATTGGTATGTGAAGTTTCACACTGGAAGTCAAACATCTGTTTGGACAGTGTCTGCACAGAGTATTTCATATAACAAATTTCATAGAGAACTCTAACATCAGAGAGACTGCAAAGAAAGCATTATGCATCAGAGAGCAGTTCCATGCCCCTCTTAGCCAGGAGGCAGAGGAGTGCAGTGCTCCAAAGTTATGAGACACCAACTAGACAAGGCCAGTACAAAAGAGGGAGTCGCTGGGCAGGCCCAGAGGCAGCATCCTGATGACAATCCCAGCAAGCAAAGAAGAGGCCTCATCACTAGGCTCTCTGCCAATTTTTTTTTAATGGCCTCTGGTGAGGTTTATTCCTCAGGCTGGTTGGAGCTTAATAACTTTTCAAGCCCTATATATTTCCTACCGTAACTCTTTTTTAAGGTTTGAGAATAAATGTAAAATATAAATATGCTCATATGACATGGATTGCACTTTCTCTTCTAGACACAGCACATGGCAGAGAGGGGCCTTGACTGTCATCTCACTCCCAGAGCACACAGCAAGGACTTACCTGCATGCCCTTAAACTCATTCTCCTGGTCGATTTCTTGGGCCTTTGGAGCCAAATGCTCCTGACAGAACTTGACCATTGTCTGTCTAAGCTGTAAATGAGGTAAGGAGGGAGAAAAATATACACATTAAACCACAACAGTATATTGTTCATTATCTTCCCTGCCATGTCTCCAGCATGCCTTAACAGGATGTTTCCTATGCCCCACAAGTTCCAAGAGAGCAGAGTGAAATCAAGCAGCTCTGAGTTTCAGGTGATGGGACTGAAAGAGAACCCCAAAGGCCTTTTAAGATAAGTTAATAATAATGTTGGATTTGAATCTTTAACCTGCAGGTGACAGTCTTATACTAAAATGGAAATGGGGACACTATCTGGGGGGGGGTTGTAGCTGGACTCTTTCCAACAAACCAGTTCCTTCCCCACCTTTTGTCAAGAAAGTTTGACAGTTGATGCACAGAGACTCTGGGAAAGTAGTGCGAACCAGGCAGTCTCCTAGATACATTTTTATAATGCACAGAAGCCTGTAATAAGCATGCATACAGACAACATATTTCCATTCTTATAAAGCCAGTAGTGACACCACAGGAGAGTGATTCACAACCTTTACTGTATTTATCCTCACAGTATCCCTGTGAAGTAAGGAAGTATTACAATAATCCCCATTTTTTACAGATGGGAACTGAGGCACAGGGAGGTAAGAGACTTGCCCAGGGCCACACAGGAAGTTTGTAGCAGAGCAAGGAATTGACCCTGAGTCGCCCAAGCCCTAGGCTAGTGTGCTCCTCATCTACTTAGTGACAGGCTGAGAACAGCAAACTCAATGCTGAGGCAACTAGAATGATAATGATTTGTGATCACTAATGACTTTGGGACAGATGGAAACTGGCAAGGGTAATGACTTTTACTCAGGGTGGATAAAAATCAGGGATTTAAAAAAAAATTTAAAAAATGGATTTTTTGATAAAATGCTTTTTGAGGAAAAAACCTATCCAAAGATACTTTTAATTAAGATACATTATAGCGCAAAGATATCGCATCATGGAATAGGGATTAATTCTAATTCTATAGTATGAGACAATATATTCATGTAATGTTTAAGAAAAGTTTTGTAAATGAGTTCCAATAGTTCATGGATTAGGGACCCAATCTTATGGGGTTCCAGGGGCTTGTGTATAGATTTAGGCTAATCTTTCTATCTACCCAATGGACTCAGTGCTCAGTCTAGAAGATACCATCAGAGATGCTTAGTTTTGCAGTTCTCAGACTGTGGATTTGTGTCTCCAGAGATAACATGTTTGTTAACAGCAAAACAAATTTTAAATAAATAAATATATAGAGCTGAGAAATAACAGACCTCAACCCTACTGTCCCTCTGCAAATTTGTGTACACAGAGTCAATCTCTTACCTCTTTCTAAAAGTGCAAAGTTTCAAAAAGTTCAGTGAATAAAAGATTGTTGGGGGCAGAATAGATCTGGACAAGGAGAAGTCTGGAGATAAATGTGAGAAGGGAGGGACAGGCAGTAGAAACAAAAGTGGAACTGTTTGAGCAGCATATTCCAGAAGTCTTGAGGTCTTTCCGAGTGTCGCCTTCATTGATTTAAGATCTACCATACCATTCTCTCACTAGAAGGGAAAACTTGTAATGGCAGCAGACTGTAAAAGAGACCCAGTTTGGGAATATTTTAATGAAGTTCCTCTACCAGTGGGTAACACAGGCATGCATGCAAAATGCAAACAGTGCAACAAAGAAATGCAAGGCCTGGTTGCCCGAATGAAACAACATCATGAGAAGTGTTCCCTCTCAGGAGAAAGCTGCATTGAAGATAATGAAAGGAACATGTCTGAACATGCAAGATCTTCAGGTTGGTAAACCTTTTTATTTCATACTTCTTTCTTAAGGACTGCCTGTCTTCCTTCTGGGCTATTCTTGAATTCTCACGTTTGAGCAAAAAATATAGTTGTTACTTTATGGTACTATCATTTTAGATGCAGTTGTGATAAAAAAATAAATAGCTGGAATAGGCTGATCTTTTTACAATTTCACCTTTAAAGTCGTACTGAGTGTCAGTGAATGCAATGAGTAACACTAAATGAGCAATATGGTAATAATAATTAAATAACTGTATTGATTTATTTTGTTTAGGAGAATCCATCCTCAACATACAGGATTCTGAAGACTATCCACCTTCAAGATCACTATCTTTTTTTTATAGTTTCAGAGTTATCTGCCAGTGCTAGTGTTTCAGTTCCACCATGCATGTCACACAGCTACAGTATATCACCTGCAGCAAAAAGAAAAAAAAAAAATCTCCATCATCCAGAAACAACCATAGATAAGTTTGTGATAAGAACCAGGAGATTACAAAAAAAAAAAAAAAAAAAAAGGAGGTAATTGATGAAAAAATTCCCGTTTGTTTATGCAACAAACTCTCCTTTCTGTATGATTGAGAACCCCACACTTCATTAACATGGTTCAGTCATTAAGACCAGGATACAGTCCACCCAACAGAGCAGATGTCACAGGCAAATTGCTGGACAAAATGTATGAAAGAGAAAATGAGCAGTGTGCAAAAGGTCTAGAGGGTGAAATTTTTAACCTAGAGTCTTGATGGGTGCAGCAATGTCCACAATGATTCTGTTATACGTGCTTGTGTGACAACAGAAGAAGGGAATGTCTTCCTTACAGAAACAATTGATACATCAGGAAATGCACACACAGCAGAATACTTACAAGTAGCAGCAATAAAAGCTATAACAAACTGAAAAAAATTCAAAATGTCTAGTACGCAGCTTGGTCACAGACGATGCTGCAAATGTATCCAAGATTAGAAGAAATTTAGAAGAGAGTCCCAAGCTAATAACATACGGTTGCAGTGCTCATTTGATGCACCTCCTAGCCAAAGATTTCAGTGTTCCAGAAACAAAGGTGAATGTTGTTGATATTGCACAATACTTTCGTAACAACCACTTTGCAGCAGCTGCTCTGAAAAAAGTGGGAGGAACCAAGCTAACTCTCCCACAAGACGTGCGATGGAACTCAGTAATGGACTGTTTTGAGCACTATATCAAAAACTGGCCTAATCTGATGACAGTTTATTTTTTCACGATTTTGTTCACAGATAACACTGTCCCAGCCAAAGTTCCCAACAATGGGTTTAAGAGAAATGTTGAACACATGCTGAGTACCCTAAAGCCTATTTCTGTAGCCTTGAACAAAATGAAGGGAAATAGCTGTTTTATTGCTAACACTGTTGAAATTTGGAAGGAACTGAGTGAGATCTTAAAAAGAGAAATATACAACAAAGTTAAAATTACAACCATTAAAAAAAACAAATGGGACAAGCACTATCTCCAGCTCGTTTTCTTGCAATATTCTCAATACTCTGTACCAGGGTCAAACCTTAACTGCAGAAGAAGAGTTGGCTATGACATGGACATCCAGCAATCATCCCTCCATAATGCCAACTATAATAAACTTCAGAGCTAAGGGTGAACTATTCAAGAAATATATTTGCTGATGATGTTTTAAAGGAAGTCACACCAGTGAACTGGTGGAAGTCACTTAAGTACTTTGATTCAGAGACTGTTGAAGTGATAATCTCACTTTTAATCGTAGCTTCTTCTGCCAGTGTAGAAAGAATATTTTCTTCCTTTGCACTAATTCATTCCAAAATGAGAAATCATTTGGGACCTGAAAAAGCAGGAAAGCTTGTTTTTCTTTTCCAGATTATGAACAAACAGAAAAATGAAGGTGAAGATGACTGAGTTAGCTGCAGAAGCCAATATTTTTACGTTTCTCATGTTGACCTGGCTGACATAGTAGACTTAATTTGGGGGGTTTTTTTGTTTGTTTTTTAAATATTTCACTTAACTATTTTAGTTAACAACCATTTTAATAAAAACAAACCTGATTTTAAAAAGCTTGAATGTTTAACTTCAAAAATTCATATGCTTGTTTTGTTAGAATATTATATGTTTGCTGTTGAAGAAAAAATCCAGAATACATAACACTGTTGCTTTAGTTAAACAAAACAATTTAAATATCAGTCTGGTGATGTTCTCCTCCTAATACAGCATGGCAAGAAAATCCTCCAAATATTAATGATTTACCTTTTGAATTGGAGATAGTTATGAAGTCATGGGGAAGTGAACTATCTGCTTCAATTACCTTTGGTAAATGAAATAATCATTCATTTTCTGATATAGCTGTAAAACTAATCTGAAAAGTTTTCAAAATAAATCACTTTAAAAAAATGTATAGAGTGTACCTTCTAAAAATGAAACCTATATCTATCTCTGAGTTGTGCAGAATATGCATTAAGGTTATAACAACCAACAAGAATGCATTTTTATGTAGATTTCTATGATTAAATGGAGTCTTCCTGACTAGTGATTTAAATCATCATTTAAATCAAATCCACCAATCTGTTGTTCTGTAATTTAATTCGGGGGGTGGGGGAAGACGACACTCATCACTGACACCAGCAACCAATCGAAGTGCAAGGTTTGACCACTCCCTCCTCCCCAGCACTAAGAGCCAAGAAAGGCCTAAGACCAGTAGTTTAGTTCGGTTTCAAGGGTAAAGGTCTGGAGCTCTCGCCCGAAGTAACCCGGATTCCTTGTGGAGGGCGCTTTGCTCCGCCAGAGCGGTCTCCCTTAGATCTCTCTCCCTCTGCCAAGACCCCTGTCGCCGCGGAGCAACTTTCTAGGCGTGCAGGGGAGGGCACAGATCAGGTCCAGCGGCTCAGTCCCCCGTTACCAAAGCCCGGCCGGACACCGACGCTCTGCAGATCGGGGGACACAAGCGGTGCGGACAAGCCCCCGGGCAGCTGGACACGCGACACACAGGCAGCCGGGGGTCGGCGTCGGCTGCCACAGCGGGGCCCAGGCGGGCCGGTGCCGGAGCGCAGCAGGCGGGACACCGCCCTGCGAGCCCCGCTGCAGGGGAAAGGGCGGGAGTCCGCGAGCCAGGCCCCGGAGCAGCAGGCAGCCCGCTGGCCGGACGCGCCCAAGCCTCTCAGGGACGGCGCCGCTGTACCTGCCGCTGCTCCTCGCTCAGCCCATTGACCGTGTCATCCACTGCGACCCTAGCGCAGCCCCGCCGCAGCAGCCCCAGCCGCAGGGGGTGCCAGGCTCTGCCTACCGCTGCCGCCTTCCCCAGCACCGCCGCCATCTCTGCTCAGGCCTACGCTAAGGCCGGCCTCGTTGCCCCCGCGCCCCCACCGGTTGGCCAATCAGACGGCAAGGCCCAGCCTAGCTGCAGCGGGCGGGCCCCGGGGAACCCAGCCTCGCAGCGACCTGACTAGACAGCACCTGGGGGGCGTGTCCCGCCCCATCGCCGCCCCACGCCCCGCCCCCTTGCAATTGAAGCGCGGCTTGCTCTGGGATGAGAAGGGCAGGCAGTGCCCAGCCAGATCCTGAGCCGCACGGGAATCTTCAGCCATCCGCCCGCATCAATTTATACTTCCTGCAGCTGCGTAGAGGAAAGCTACTGCTGGCATGTGCAGCCAGGGATGCGGAAGGGGAAGGGGAAAGGGAAGGGGAAGGGCTGGAACTCAGCTAGAAGAGCAAGAACAGCAGTTTGGGAAAAGTGATGATGGATTAAGTGGAGTAAACTACCACCGGAGTTGGAGGTAATAAGTCATTTACTAGAAATATGAAAGTACAGTTGAACAACAGAAGCAGGCATTAAAACAAGCCTAAAAAACAGGGTTATTTTCCCCATAGAGATGACATATTTGAAACTGTAAAATTGATTTAAGCAATACAGGTAAAGTCAAAGCTGGAAAGGTTTGTCTGTAAAAAAAAAATTACAAAAGAGTAAAAAAAAAGTTATATATATTTATGTTATGAAGGGGAACCTCTATGGTGGAATGACTTTAATACATCTCTTTTAGGTTTATCAGTCCTCTTAAAAAGGGGCTTTGGTGTACTCTGTGACCCATGAGTAACCTTTAATTCCGTTGTTGACAGTAAACGATGCTCCTGGATCAGAGCCACATATGTCATGAGAAGCTGATAAGGGCACAAACATGACACAAGGATTAGTCCTTACTCCTCATGTGTCCAAGAGGAGCTCCACCTGATCAACAGTGGCAGCATACTCTTCTGTTTCTTTCTGAAAGGATAGCTGCTTCTCCAGGAAATTGTTTCTATCATTCTCTGCCAGTTTCCACATAGCTGTTGCTGTCTATATGGAAAGAGCAAGTTAGTGCACAGTAGGGACTGTTACAAATACAGTATGTATGACTCCACAGAGGCAGCAGAGCTAAAAGCACATGGCTTTTTTGTAAGTCAAGCCACACCAGGAAGACCACTTTGCTTCAGCCCCTTACCCCAAAGCACCAATTTCTTACTAAGACATCCTGTTCAAGACCAGCCCTTGGTAACTTCAAAACTCCTGCTGATCATGTGAGAGTACAGTTAAGTATTGTTTTTTGGCTACATCCAGCTGAATCAAAGTTAATTCAGTAAAGACCACAGTTTAAGGAATCTTGGGTATTCTGAATTTACCATGCTAGTGGCATAGTAGGAGTTCTCACCCTGAAGAGCCACTTCTGAAACACTAATGCATAGGTAGCTGAAATTTGACTAGGATGCTACCTGGGGTAGTTATATGGGCATTATTGTAGCATTTGAGCACTTGGCAACCAACTTTATTTTTAAGACCTCCATGAGGTAGGCAAGTACTGTACTCCTTGTTGTAGAGCAGGGGTGGCCAACCTGAGCCTGAGAAGGAACCAGAATTTACCAATGAACATTGCCAAAGAGCCACAGTAATAGGTCAGCACCCCCTATCCGCTACCCCCTCCAGCTCCCAGCACCTCCGACCCACTGGCAGCCCTGCCAATCAGCTATATTGGAAAGTTAGCATCTGTAGCTCCAGCCTCGGAGTCAGCACCTATGCAAGGAGCCGCATATTAACCTCTGAAGAGCTGCATGCGGCTCCGAAGCCACAGGATGGCCACCCCTGTTGTAGAGATTGGAAAGTAAGGTAAAGACCAGATGACATGCCCAAGGTCACATAAGAAATCTGTGGCACGGCAGAGAGTTGGACCTAAGTCTGAGTTCCAGGCTAGTGCCCTAACTACTGGACCATCCTTCCTCCCATGAAGGATAATGCTTCATCTGTTGTGAATAGGATCTTGAGATCTTTAGTGACCCTAAGTAGCAGGAACTTCTCAGTAGATACGTAAATTTGCACTTCCAGAACATTGCCGCCACCCTTTCCAACAATTCTGCAACATTGGCTCATTGCTATTTTCAGAATCACTAGCTTCCTGGTGCGCCCTTCATTCTCTTTTGGAGGCCTCTCATTCCAGTTCTGACTATACTTAATCCTGATTATCTTTGATTATACTGGATCTTCCAAATTAAGCTGGCTGTTAATTTCAGTGACGTGACTGATTTTAGCTGTAATCCCTTCCCATTACTTTGGGAACTTAATACCACCTAGAATGTCCTTATTACATGCATATTTACAACAGAAGACAGGAGGCAAGGTAGTAAGCCTGCTACAGTACATTGGTCTGCTTGAAGAGAACCCAGGAAACCAGAACTTCATCCCAAACCAGGCAACTGAATCTCTGTGGTTTTCTGAAGGAAAAGGGTGTCTTACCAGAAGCTCTTCCTGTTTTGCAGCCATTTGGCTGAATAGTCTCAGTTCTTCTTTAAGCTTCTCTGTCAGCAACTGAAGAAAAGCCCAAAGCATTTAGTTTATCCAGGTTCTGCACCACACAGCAATTGCCTCTATTATCAATTTAAACTTCTAGTAAACAAAAATCTGTAACCCAATTCCACTCAAAAGTTCTCACCATTGTCTGCTTCTGACACTCCTTTGTATCTTCTTCCTCCAAGATTTCATTGCCTGTAACTGGTTTATAAATACTTTCATAAGCTTCTTTAGTAGTTACCCAAACGATTCCCCACTAGCTGTTAGACCTCACCTTCACCCACAGTATTAAGTCACTTCACTGCAGAATCAGCCTCTAAATCTACATTAAGAGCAAATCAAGTATTCTGGGAAGTTATGAGTCTGGTTCTTCTGTAGTAAGCAGAGAGCCAGATAGAACAACTTCTCCCTTTCAGCGCAGAGTGATTAGTGCTGTTGCTGTTTGCCAAAACCTGAAGTCAAGCATGAATGTCACATGAGCTCCTTGGTTACAACAAAAAGGTCACACCTGAAGAATCAGAGTACCAATTATCATAATGGGAGGAGATGGGGGCTAACTCCCCACCTTATGCTTAGAACTGAAATAGTTAGTCCTTACCTGGATCAATATTTCTGCTTTCTAAAATCACCATGCAGTTTTCTTGAAATTTCTTCAGCTTTTGAACTTCTTCTTCCAGGACTTCATTCTTTTCTCTCAAGTCTTTTATAGTGCCCTATCAGTACCACACAAGTTAGAAGTCAATAGAGCCCCTAAAAAGATTCTTCCTGTTTCCTCCCAACTTCTTCCTAATTCGCAGCCATACCTGCTCCCAATGTATTGGAGATAAGTTCTTGGACACTGATTTAGTTCTCACCACTTTTTAATACTGACAGATTTGGAGCTGCCTGTAATAATTTAATACTATCTCTGGACTCAATTAATGTAAGCATATGTTGTATTAATTCCTAACAATGTTGCTAATGAAATGCACTCCAAATGGGGGGGGAAGAGGAGGGAGGGGACAGTAAATCTTGAACAGCCCCTCTTGATGGACAGTACTGGAGTTATTTGTCCTGGAGTGCTGGCTAGACCCCCTACTGACTTGCTAAAATAGGTTTATCCAGGAATGTCTCAGTCCAATGAGGAGAGAGCAAAACCTCAGAAGGGTTTAGAGACACAGACCAGGTATACAGTAGGAGCGCTTGGCTAGTATAGCTATACCAGCATATTTTACTAGCAAAGCATTCCTAGTATAGACACAGCTTATACCCGTAAAACCACACTTTTGCTGGTATAGCTTACTCAAGCACTGCCCTCTGCCCCACAGAGAATAAGCTATACCAGCAAAAGCCCAGTTTTGCTGGTGCAACTGCATCTGCACTACGGATTGTTGCTGGCATAGCTCTTCATAACTCTGACATAGCTTTGCTGACAAGAGTTTAAAGTGTAGACCTGGCCATGCTGTGGAGGAAGTCAGAATGTTAAGGGGTAAGAGGAAGAGACTGAAGCAGAAACTATTGAGTGTAGGCAACAGACTGCTCCTGAAGGGGTCTAGGGTAATATAGGCCTACTTGAGCTTTTAGGTAAAAAGCTAGACTTTTGTTTTAATAATTTAATAATTAAAATGTTATTTTACTCCTGGGGGAATTCTGCGTCATGCAGGATTTCGCAGAAACGTTTTGTGCACAGAATTCTGCCCTGCCCCCCCACCCCCCCGAAATGGGCTGCAGAGCTGCTGGCTGCCAGTAGGAGCCACTGGACCCGGCAGAGCCCAGTTCACACATAGAAGAAACGGCTGGGGGGCAGGGGAGGGAGCTGCAGTTCCCCACATGCCCTGAGGGAAGGAGACAGTGGCACGCAGGAAATTCTGCACAAGCCTGGGACCTAGCATCATGCTGTTTCTCCCACTAGATCCCTGGGCTCTGGAGGGGAGAGGGGCAGATAAGAGGGGGTATCTTAGCAAGGGGGGCCCTGCAGCTGGGCTCGGGGAGGGGAGGGGTTGTGGGTGTCTGGCCCTCCAGCTGCGCTCTGGGGTGTGAAGGGGCAGAGAAACAGGACACTGGGTTGTCACAGAGGTTTCCTTAATTCTACTCCTGGGGGAATTTGCGTGTATGTATGTATGTTGTATTGTTACAAACATACTTGCTGACAGATATTTTGAAATAAATTACCAAAATAATTGAAACTGGCATGATTAGGTAGTGTTATTTTGACAAATAAAATTTGCAGAATTTTAAAATATCGTGTGTGGAATTTTTACTTTTTTGGCACAGAATGCCCCCAGGAGTATTCTTATGCTGTGTTCCCACTGTTCAGATTCAAGAATACTTTTAAAAAAAGCTGTTTTGTGTCACTGTGTTCACCACTGGTCACAGCTCCTGAAGGGAAGAACTGCAGGTACCCAAATCCAGTTGGATCTGTTGAGCAGTCACACTTGGTACTGTAGTATAGGGCCTGGTCTAAGAATAGAAGAATCACATGATTTTGCCTGAGGTGTGAAAGGTCAAGGCCTAAAAGCTAGAAAGATCAAGAGGAGACAGAGGTGCAGCTAGCCCTGAATCTTGACAAACTCGTTGCCTTGTATCACATACTAGACCTAATAGCAGGCTTCAGTCACAACTTTAAACAAGTAAATTGGGAG